GGCCACAGGAACATTTAAGAGAAAATTTCTTCTTTGAATAGAGATGATGATTTCTCCATGTCTTAAACTTAAGGATCTGTGACTTTAGGATCATTTGACCCTAGAGGGATATAACAGCACAGCTGAGTGCTATCCTGATCTGGAAGGCCGTCTGGAGAAGATTTTTAGACACCTTCTACTCCTTTTAGCTTAAGGATTTTTTATTTTTATAGTTGGTTTTATTAACCTGTGAAACAGCACCAGCACGTCTGCATCATGGATCTACCAAGCTGAAAACCTACCTCGTTTCTCAGGCAGCCCCTGCTAATGGTTCTATTGACATTTGTTATTTTGACATTTGGAAATTTCAGGAAAGGCCAAGCTTAGCTTGACTGGGCAGTGCAATCTGGATGGGGAAAAGTGAGTAATAAAGGATTATGACAGTGAGAAGTAAGTTGGATTCCTTAGGCAGTCTGAGAGCTGAAATGCTGCAGTAAATTTTGTTGCCTTTTATAACACGAGATTGTATTTTTTTTTAATCATTGCTAATAATCCTTTGAGTTCCTTTTTTAACTGTTGGCAACATTCTTTTGTTTATTTGGGTAATTTGGGTAATGTCAACTGCTTCTTTTTTTTCTTTTCTCTTTGTTCATATGAATTGAAAGATTTTAATGTGAAGATTTAAGCTGTAGTTGCAACAGATTGACAGATCAGCCCTATATATTGTGTTGTCATGGGAAGCAGATTGTATTTCTCAGCCCTGAAGTTCTAGTAAATTCTTTCTGTGGTATAAAGAGATCTCATTACCTCAACTTTAAAGGAGCAAGAGGCTTATAGGTCTTATAGCTTGTCAACACTGCAAACAAATTGTGTGTCCTTAGCCCAATTGAATTAATTTGTGGTAAACAAGAGTGAAGTCAAAATGCAACAGGAGACTGTCTCTGTGGTTGCAGAAGAAGGGTTCAAAGCTTGCTATCCTGTTCCTTATGTTCCTTATGTTCCTTATGTCCACGAGAGGAAGATTGTTTGAAATGGCTAAACAACTTTTGTGAGAAAGGCCAACAATCCCATGGAAGGCTTAAGGCCAGAACTAGCCCTCCTACCTATTTCATGCAGAATTAAGAAACTGTAGACTTCGTGTTTGCATCCTGCTTCCAACAAGGCTCATTCATAAGTTGATGTTGAGCTGGGTGTCACTGGCACTCACAGGACCAAGTCCTTCCTAAAAAATCAGGACAGAAAAATGGGTTTATTCCCTCCATGTAGGTAGAAGAAAGAAGTTTTGATACAGGGAAGTGACCTGCCAAACCCAGAAATATCGGTGCTGAGCCAGTCCTGGGGCCAAGCTGTATTCCTTATGCTGTGGTCTGCTGTGATTAATTCACTTCATAATCTGTTTCCAAGTCACACATTGCTATGTTGCCATTTGATAAATCAGCTCTGCTCTGTTCTGTACTTAAGTGTGTTTCTGTCAAGTCTCTTTGTAATGGGTTCCATTCCTGCTTTGCTTGCAATTGCATGTTGAGTCTGAAGGGTCTATCCTGTCCCTTTAACGTGAAAGCATTTCTGCTTTAGATCTCAGGATTTTTTTTTTCCAATATGAAATCAGTTAATTATTAAAAATGAAGTCAATAATTAAGGAGTTATACAGATTCATCTATTTTTCAGCACTTTTGAGTGTTTCTGTTTGCAGTAGGAGTAGAAGAAATAATTTAAATATACTGCAGCTGTTGGTCTTTTAAACATTCTGCTCTCAAATAAGTCATTTATTTACCTGTTGCAGAGCCCAGTCTCAATAACAGAAGGTTATTTTCTGAACCCTGTAGATTTCATCTGAAATAGGGTTTATTTTCAGTGGCAAACATGAGGTTCTGGCCTCCTAAATCCTGCAGGGTGGCCCTGCAGACTGACTACAGATTCGAGGGTGCCCATGATTTCCAGGGAACCCCCTTTACCCACATTTAAGAAGAAAGAGCTAACTTTATGCTTGGGACTATTCCTTCTTCTGATTTTTCAGGAATATATTTCATCTCCACATTTAAAAGTGTTTTGTTATAAATGTAGGTTATAACATATAAAAATATACACTTATGTATATAAAGATATATGTGCTTATGGGGACAATTCTGCTCCCGCCAGGGTTGAGTTAGGCATCTGAATTGAAAGAGATCCATAGTCATCATTTGGAATCAAGCAGATTAGTAAATTCCTTGATTTATTCAAAGCGTTCACTCTGGTATGTTGCTGAAGACTCATTAAAAATCCCAGAGAGCAGAAGATGACACAATCAGGATCTGATTTATTTATCTAAGTGTGTTACTTTAAAGAGCAATTGCAAACACCCTAGGGTGTCCACAGTATCGATATAGGTCTGGCAATTAAGACATTGGGCATGTGTCAAATCCATGCCATTTTGGAAGAGCTAAAAGCCAAACTGATATCTAAAAATGATGTGTTTAGGCACCTGAAACCCACCCACAGTGTCCAAAGTAAGTCAAGGGAACTACAGACAGGAGTGGTAGCAGTGACTAAGGTGCTTCGTGGGTGTTTTACTCCCACATTGGGAGTAAAACATTGGAGATCCCTGGCCACTTCCTAGGTGAGCTGGGCAGAAAGGTATCATTGACCAAACCCCATGCATCACTCAGTGGCACCTTGCTATTTATAACAGAGTTGAATCTCAACTGCAGGCTTAATTATGTGTTGGAATATAAAAAGGAATCAAGGAAAGAGAAGCTTGCTAGATCTTATGTTTGCTCCAATAAAAGTGTGCTTTAAAGTACCAGAATTTGGAAGGAAGAGATCTGGCATATACGAAGTACTCTAATTCAAATCAATCACCAAGAATAAAATGAAAAAAAAAGTGAGTTAAAAAAAGATAGATAGAGAGAGAGAGAGAGAAGACAGAGAACAGAGAGGACAAAATCACTGGAAAAAAAGTAAAGGAAAAGTAAAGATGAGTTTGAATACCTTGAAAGTACTTCCTTTAGAAGAAGAAGAAAAGGTTTTCTTCTAAAAATCTACTAGAGTTTTTATAATTGATGCTATTGCATGTATGTGCATGGGAGGCGTACATAGTGGAAGGCAGTTGTGTGTCTGTACATGTGTGTGCACACATCCACCCACCAGAATTGTCACTAAATAAAGGTTAGTGCTGGAAAAAAATTGCATGTGTTCAACATGCAGTAGGACGCTGTCTGTCATTTGCTTTTCTGCAGGAACTAAAAATTCACCAAATTCACTCAATAAAAGGGAATAAATGAATAATAACAATGAGATCACTCTGCTAGTAGAGGAATATGCATAGGCAGGTATCACAAGAATTTTTTGAGCTGGCTAAGGTCGTTGAAGAGGGAGAATCAGAAGAGTCAGCCCTTTGTACACAGAGTGCAAAATTGGTTTTTGGAAACTTGCATTGCCTCTGTGCCACTAAAGTTACTGGGTGCTGACAAAAAGTTAGCCAAGGTCCTAAGAATCCATTCCTCCCATGTTCTTGGTACATTGATATGCAGGAATATTCCAGGAAAAGTAAATAAATAAATAAATAAATAAACAAATAAAAACTTCTGGCAATGTAACAAGGTTAGTTTCTTCCTTTTTTTTTTTTTTTTTTTTTTTTCATTCTCATGGGAATTCATGACTAGTAGGTGCTACTTCTTTTTTATTCCTGTGTTAGGGAGGGAAGAAGTTGGACACTGGGATGTAAGCACCCAGAAAACAAAACAGAAGATGAGGAGAGAAGCTTGCTTAAAATAATTTGAAAATGATTGATTGGTTACAACCTCTACCTTTAGTGAATTCGGGTATTATTACTTTTCTATAGTACAGCCGGGGAGGACAGTAACTTGCTGTGGGCTAAAGGTAAATTATGATCTATTGCAAAGGAGTGAAAGAAAAAAATATTCTAAAGGAGAGTGTATAAGGCACATGCTCTCCCTTGATGGGCTCAGAGGGTTGGATTTCTGTTGACCAATTTGTTCCAAAACCTGTTAAGAAAAAGGAAATGTACAGACCTAAAATAAACTTTTTTTATGCAAAGGAGAGTGAAATAGCAAGATGCTTCCTTGCTGGGACTTACTGCATGCAGACTTGGTGGTGTGTACATTGAAGAGGATTTGGGACTCTGTATCGTGTTTCCAGTTACAGCTGAAAATGTATATTCAGATCTATCAGAAATAGCCACACTAAGTCCTTAAGAATATTTTTGCAGAAGTGGCTTCTGAGATTCATTCTTTTTTTTCTGGAAAAACTCTCCAAATTTACAATACTTGAAACTATATATAATGCTATTTCACCTTTTGGAAGCAAAACTCTGAACTGAAATATTTTCAAATGAAACATTCACTTTATTAAAAAATAAAATAGAAAAAAAGAAAGTTGATTCTTGCTATTTCTTCTTGCATTAATTTTAAAATGAAGGACTACAGATAAAAAAAGAAAAATTTGCAAGATTTTTTAAATCATCTCACAATTGATTTTTAAAAATAATATATTGAACATTTTTTAAGATTTTATAACAGCCACAAAATTCTCTTCAGAGCTGAGAAATCACTTTTCAACAAGTCTTTTATTTGAAAAGCAATCTAATCACTTTTTTTTAGGTATTATCATACATTTCCTAGGGACTTTCAGATTTACTCTCCCAGAGGAGATTCCTTGAGAAACCCCACCCATGGAAGGGGCTTTTGCCATACAGGTTTCTGTATACTCTGCTCTAGAAACAAGTTGATAGAGCCTTCCAAGCATCTGTAGAATCCTGTTTCCATCCTCATTGTCCTGAATTATCTCTGTATTCATTTAAAGTTTTATAAATATATATATGTATATCCGTATATATGTATTCTTTTCTAGTCAATTGTTTGAAAGCAGGTCTCACACTAACCCACTAACCATATTAGTCCTGTTTTTGACTTTGCAGTGCGTTGGCTGGGTTGCACGGACAAGTAGGCCATCTAAGCCAAGATTTTAGATTTTCAAAAATGAATCCCTATTTTTCTTTTTCTTTTTTTTTTTTTTTTTAGGCTGGATGCCAAAAGTAGCTTTCACATATTTGAAATCATCAGCTCATATTAATGACACTCGATTAGTGCTACAGGAACCAGTTGACTGGCAACCTGGTGATGAAATCATTGTTGGTAGGACGGGCATTGGTGATGAACCACAGCAAGAGGAAATGGCCATGATTGAGTCTGTGAACAACACTGAGCTCTACCTCACGTCACCGCTCAGGTACCATTCCAGGGACCAGGGGGATTTCTGCAGGAAGAGGCAAACTGGTTGGACTTTTTGGGTGGAGGTTGGGATTTACAGGTCCCTATGGGAAGAAATGACTAAATTAATTCCTTTAACAAAGATGCTCACAGACATTTGSTTTCCTTTCTTCTCCTAAAACTAGGGGATATTCAGTCCTGAATGCCTCTCGCTATGTTGAAATCCCATATCCTAACCCTAAACTTGGAATCCTTTCAAGCAGAAAACAACAATGTCGAGTCTGATGACTSTAGCACATAGTTGATTAACAATTTTCCTGCATGTCTACTTTCTTGACTAATCACTGCTTTTTTTTTTTTTCTTCACAAAAACCATCTAATTTCTGTAAAGAAAAAAAAAGTTCTTCCATTCTTGATTTAGTTTTTGAGGTTGTTTAACAAAACAATTACTTCAACTTGAAAAAATTGCTTCCCTGCTTCCAGGGAGCAGCAATTTGATTTATGTGCTCATTATCTCCCATACATTAAGATCGTGGTCAAACTACACTTCTTATTACCATAACCAGGAGCCCCAGTATTGCAATATTTGGGAAGTCTGGAGAGAAGGAGACCTAACTACAACGCTGATGAAGAACACTACTATCATTTTTAGATGGAAATATATATATATATATAAATATATATATATATATATATATTTGCTTGAGGAAGAAAATATTGACTTTTTTAATGAAATATGTTGTGGGAAGATAAAGGAAATTCAAATATTGAAATATTATGGTTAAAGCATACATAACATGAGAAAGTTTTGTGAACTGGTGATGCAAAAAGATGAAAACAAACTGAAGCCAGGGAYAAATATACCTAGCTCACAAACACAGATATGTTGGGTATGCTACCGTAGAAAATAAAAAGAGGCCTGACTCTGGGACACAACTATCTAAAACTCAGAGACTAAAAGCACACAAAGTGCCCTAGGTTCACTCAGAACTTGTCCGTGTTTGTCAGAAGATTTGTGTAACCTGCCGGGATATTCTGAGAACCAGATGTGAGTTTTGGGCTCCCTGGGAAAACAGACAAATTGAAGCTTTGTGCTGGAACTGCTCATGCTGAACTAATTGGAAAACTTCTCACCCCGTCCCTTCCCATTCCCAGACAGCTTGAATGCTCACAGCTAGCAGAGATRCTCAGACCCCCTGCAAGTTCACCCGAAATATCATGGATCATTTGGGAAGTAGCTCTGAATTCATGTGGTTGAGGTCATAGCTGAGAGGYCCTGTCCTCTGTCAGGTGCAGATACTTTTTTGCCCCTTTTGAAATTTATTTATTTTTGTGTCCTTTCCTAGGTATTTTCACAGTGTTAGAGAGGAATGGGTGAATGGCCAAATCGTGCCTTTGAGCGCTGTCGTGGCACTGATTAGCAGAAGAGTTGTGGTGCAAGGAAACGTCACGAGGGAGAGGATGTCCCACCTCGGATGGTGTGTGAAAGCAGGTGTTTCAGGAGGTGAGGAACATCTCTTTTCTGACAGAAATGGACTGAGAAGCAAATGAATAACAATATTATTACTCTATTAAAATCACATTATAATAGCACTGTGTATTAGAAATATTTCTTAATACTATAACTTGGAAACGTAATGGCACCAGGAAAGCTAATTTATCTTTTCAGACATTGTTTGACATTGAAGTATGAAATCTCAGGAGCCGAGCTGAATTTCCTTGTAATATCTCAGTTGTACTATTTTCTCATTGTTGTTTCAAGCCATCTTGGGACAGACCCTTTAGTTTTGCTTGAGCCTAAGGGTGTAGAAAAGAAAGTATCTTCTGAAAATATTTTTCAGTGTACATATTATATTAAATTTTTAATTGTGTTTACTATCTAGTCACTTTAAGAAGAAAGAAAAACAAAACAGCCTGATGCTTTTTGTACTCTTGAGTGTAAACTATTGAGATGTTGTTTAGTGTTTAGGGATCCCTACAAACAATACCTGGTGATGGCTTCTTTATAATATTCAGTAGTATTGGTGAAAAAATAAGACTTCTCAGTTCTTCTTTGATTTTGTATTTAACCTTCCACCATCAAGTTTGGTAGAGAGGTTCCTGATTTACACCAGCTGATGAGGAAGTGGAATGAGATGCAGTGATTATAATTGGAGGAGCATTAGGCTTTCTGGCTACCCAGATATTATGGTTGCCTTTAAAAATAAAAAGCCTTGGGCTTTATGGTGTGATGCAAGTCTTCATCTGATATCTAGTAACCAGATGCTTATATTACCTGTGAATTTATAGACCATTCTGTGTGGAACTCATAAATATAGTCATTGAGATGAACAAAGGTTTTTATTTGCATTAAAATATAAGAGGATTTCACAGAGAAGTCATCAAATGATGAGTGAGCAGTATTTTTGTTAATTTACTTTCTTTAAAAGAAAACTGAGTGTTATTAAGACTAATAGCCAATATTAGAACTTAAATTTCTTTCAGTATATCCGAAGAACAGGCCAAAGCTACATGTTTTTAGTTTGAATCTCCTTATGCCGAAATATCATCAGCACTGACCCATGGGAGGGCACTTTTCAGGAGTGTCAGCTCCTTCCACAGCCCTGTGATTTACTCTTTCTGTCTTCAAATTATGAGTAGTAATGGTTTCTTACCCATCTACAGTGGCAGTAGGAAAAGCTAGAATTTGTAGGGTATTTTCCAAGTGTTCTCATTTCAGCTTAGTTCAGTAAATCCATGCCCAATCATCTTTTCAAGAACCTCACCCAAGGTAAATCAATGTCAAATCCATCTTACCCATGCATTGGTCTATTTAAAATTGAACACAAGCAGCTTCCCAAAGCATGAAACTACCATGGCTTCCTGCTGATTTTAATATATGTTGCTCTAAAAAAGTCCAGCTGACTTTTAGGAAAGAAACTGTGAGGATACTTAGAGGGAGTATCAAATACAGTTACCTGTGGCTATGTGTCTTTAGGCATGAGTTTATGATTGCTACTGGAAAGAGTGGTACTGGATGACAARAACCAGGTCAGTGTGGTGGCTCTTGTGACATGATTTGGGGACCTTTACATATATAATGCTTTTTAGGGACAAGTAACAGTGATGGATCTCTCCGGGTTGCATTGCAGATGGCTCCAGGTGTCTGTACCAGAGGAGCGAGCGGAAGCTGGGATCTCGGGACCTGGGAGCCATGGTCATTGTGGAGGCCTTCCAAGGAGAGGACAGCCACGTCTGGGTGGAAGGGGTTCAGTTTCGGCACATGGGCCAAGCGTTTCAGCAGCACCACAGTGCGCTGACCATCACTGGCAACACGCAGATGGCAGGTGAGACAGTGCTGGAGATGGGGCCAGATGATCCCACATGTCCTCCTTCTCCAGCCCAAAGCTGGTGCAGACCTTCTTGACAGCCTGCTTGGCTTGGTGTTCAGGGCACCAATGAAAAATTGAGTGGTTAAATATGAGAAATTGTCACTGGAGTCTAAATCCAAGTGAAACTTGAAGAAGTGCTTTAACCCTCCTAAGTTCCTCTATATCTCTCTCTGTCTTCTTCCTAACGTAATATTTCATTTTTATGCCACACTTATTGAGTTAGTCTGTAACTTCAAGGTCTGGAAGTGAAGTACTAAAATATTGCGAGAGAGCTCAGAGCTGGCTCAGGGCTATTTGGCAACATATGCCAAAATTTAATCCTGTCACCTGAAAGTTAAAGAACTCATTGGCTTGTTCTGTCTTTGTCATTAGTAAGTGTAAAACTCACCTCTGTGGAAGTGACAGGGAGGACTCTAAGTGATGTTGCTAACTGGGGAGGGTTAGGTAGGCTAGAGTAGTGTTTTAAGGATATTGGATGGTTTTATTTCCTCTSATTAACCCACATCTTTGCCAATGCCCAGCTATTGGCAAAGATTTGCAAAACTGAGTAAGAATCAGCAGCTGGAACCAAGCAGTCTCATGGAAACAGAACAGATTAATTGCATAGCATCAGAGTGTGCAGAACTAATGTGAAATTGCCCTAAATTTCAAAATCACTTTTTTTTTTTTTTTTTTTTTTTTTTTTTTTTTTTTTTTCCAGACTTTTTT